ATATAGATATAGATATAGATATAGATATAGATATAGATATAGATATAGATATAGATATAGATATAGATATAGATATAGATATAGATATAGATATAGATATAGATATAGATATAGATATAGATATAGATATAGATATAGATATAGATATAGATATAGATATAGATATAGATATAGATATAGATATAGATATAGATATAGATATAGATATAGATATAGATATAGATATAGATATAGATATAGATATAGATATAGATATAGATATAGATATAGATATAGATATAGATATAGATATAGATATAGATATATGTACAGATACAGATACAAATACATTTATTACATAAGAAGTAGCTAGTTATATAACGTAAAAGAAGACATATTGGCATACAGTTAGTAGGAAAGAATTGACTGCTCTAATCGATTTCCAAACTCGAAAATGCTTGTCGGCCATTTATTGACAGCTTACGCTAAAGTAACTGATGAAAATCTTATCGAACTGTAAAAATCGTCAATAGTCAGCGGAAATGCGATATAGAGCGAGCGTGTGCATATAGTGTGTCAAGTATATATATATATGCATATAAATTATAGAGTATTTGCACTGTGATGGCGAATCGGTGTTCCTTATCAACGTCCGCTCAAATGTGAATAAACAACATTTATGTTTCGCCGGTGCGATAGACGCGAGTCAGACGAGCCCCAACAGTTGAACCTATCAGCTGACAGATCTTTGATGATGTATATGTATGTGTGTGTATATGTATAAGTGTTTAAAGTGTATTTTTGTCTGACTTATCGCTAGGCACGTGCGGCTCTCCCAAAACAAACTGTAGAAATTATATGGTTATCAGATATGCCTCTAAAGAAATGACAAATAAACTGAAATGTAGGAAAGAGTATGCTAATTCGTTGTTTGAATTTTCATTTCGGCAGGCCACCAATTTCAAGTCGAGTCCGGTGCCAAAGACGGGCGGCAGCACATCCGAGTCAGAGGATGCGGGCGGCGGCGGCGGCAGCGGCTGTCGGCGCGATTCACCGCTCTCGATGACCGTTGGCCATTTGGGCGGCGGCAATGTGGGCGCGGCCAGTGCGCTCAGCGGCCTCAGCCAGTCGCTAAGTATTAAGCAGGAGCTAATGGATGCACAGCAACAGCAGCAACAACATCGCGAGCATCACGTCGGCCTGCCACCCGAATACTTGCCGGTAAGTAGAGCTCTCCATAGACCTACATATCTAGATGCGTACTGCCCGACCCGATCCATTTTACTTTCAATTTTCACATAATTTGTAGTTAGCTAAGTTAATTGTTAAGGTTTTTTCTTTGGACCGGTGCGATGGTTCCAATTTCTGCTCTCAAAACCAAAAACAAAAAAGTATAATAAAGAGAAAATGCAGCTTAATTTACTTTTTTTATGAACCTGAAATATTTTTTGTATATATATATATTTGCATAATTTAAGCCAACTGCAAAATGCTTCAAGAGAAACCCAAGAGCTGCTCACAAATTGTTACTGAATTTTTTTTTTATTTTTTGTTGTTTCTAAAATTTAAGAAAAAATCGCGTAAAGCAAAAGGGCGAACGAAGGATTGGTTGTTTGGCTCGTTTATGAAAGACACATTTAGATTCACATTCTCGAAATGGAATATCGGCCAAGAAAAAGAAAAAATCTCAACAATTTTCGTTAAAGTAAATAAAAAAAAGAAAAAAAGAAAAAAAAATAAACATAAAAGAAACAGCGTCAAATCCTTCCTTCTACCAGTAGTTTTGCCAATTTTTTCTTAAGTTGTCTTTTTTTGTTTCCATTTTGTTTTCTTTTGGCTCCTTTTTCTGTTCGTGTTTCTTATTTCTGTTGCGTTGCGCTTGGTGTAGCCCAAAGCCAGCTGCACAAAAGACACTGAGAACAAGGCGGAGACCTCAATGCATCAGCTGCTGCTGCAGCATGCGGTGGAGGCGCAGCTCAAGACGTTGCAACTGCAATATCAGCAGGAGACGCTGGACAGCACAGTGCAGCGACTGTTGCAGCAACAGCAGCAGCAACAACAGCAGCAACAGCATCAGCAACAACAACATCTGCCCGATCCGAAGAAGCTGCTGGGACCGCCAGCCGCCACGACGGGCACCTCGTCGCGCAAGAGCGGACGCTTTCGCGCCAATTGGCTATATCAGTTCGATTGGCTGCAGTTCGATGAGCTGGCCAATACGATGTACTGCAAGCATTGCCGCAAGTGGAGCAACGAGCTGGCCGACATACGCACCTCCTTTGTGGAGGGCAACTCCAATTTCCGACTGGAGATTGTCAATCATCACAACAAGTGCAAGTCGCATCGTCTCTGCTACGAGCGCGAGCTGCAGGAGCAGAACAGGATAAATACTGGCAGCAGCAGCAGCAGCAGCAGTGGCAGCGCAGCTAAGCGCGCTGCTCCACCAGATATCATAACAATCAATGTGGGCGAGGATAGCACCTGAACCAGCTCACACATGTACACACCCACACACACAAACATGTTGCACTTGCTCAGGTTTAGCAGTAGTTAGCTTTTGTAATTAATTTAAGCAGCTTGAAGCATTTTGCAATTGATAAAAATAATAAATATAAACGAGTGTAAGCAATGACAACAATTGTGCACAAATCTATACCACAATCTCTCTCTCTCTCTCTCCCTGTCTCTCCGCCTGCCCTCTCTCTCTCTCTCACACATGCAGAGCGCTGCTCTCAAAATGCACGCCGAGGACATGTCCACGCTGTTAACCCAACAGCTGCAGGCCGCCGATGCGCGGGAGGAGCACAACGATGCCAAACAGATGCCACTCGATCAGACGGACAACATTGACGGTGAGTACCACACACACACAGCTCTATCAACATATATATACATATATATATGCATATGTATAAATCTCTCTTTATATATACATATATGTATATATCTATAGTATATATGTGTTTCATTATTTTTTTTTCTATCTGTGCTTTGAAGCTAATGCACTCAAAATTAAGCAATATCATCAAATGATAACAAAATATATCTAGCAAAATTTGTAAAAATTTTTAATTAGCTTTTGATTTCTGTAAAAAACAAACCTTTCTTTTTTTGATTGATTTAATTGAGTCCGAAGGAAAATTCGTAGAACAAAAAGTAAAACAACTGTAAATCCGTAGTTCTTAGCTTAATTTGTTTTCGCATAACCCGCTCCTAACTATCCCCAGCGTAGCCTGCGACTGGCTGTGCACAGTGGGGCAAGAAACGGCCCACTAGATTCACTGTGCGCAGCCAAATCGTAGAGTCTATATATTTATGTAGTTATCCTGCATGCACTTGATCGTCTCCACATATACATATATATATATAAATAAATTATTATCCATGCGAATCGGAACCGACTCGAAACCAATTCAAGGGCCTCTCACACTTTTCTCACTCCCAACAACTCCCCCGCCCCAACCCTACCCAGCCCCACCACACACAAGACAAGTTCAACTTAACCTATATCGCTATATATAGTATATAGTATGTATATCAATTTTGATGTACCCGATTTACATTTTTATGCTTTTGTATTTATGTATTTATCTATTTCTTTCCCCCAATATGTATAACTTCTATTATTATTATTTTTTCAATATTTTTATTGGCGCTCTGAATGTTAGCTCTTAAGCGAAATCGAGAAGGAAATGCAATTTGCTAGAGCAACAGATCAACACCTCTCCTACCAAATAGAGTCTTTGCTATGTATATATACATATAGTTTATATATATGTATATATACATATATTTGTAGTACATGAATTTTTTTTGTTTGTTTTGTCGTATCGTATTTTGTTTTAATCGTAGGCGCAAACTATATTAGCTGACTTTTATCGTAATCGTAATTGTTATCGTAATCGGTTTAGTTTACTTTGTATGTTGCCGCATGCTGCATGTTTAGATGACGCATACACACACGCCCACTATTATTATTATGATTATATATGAGTACATAGTTAATATACACATATTATTTATGTTTTTTTTTTCCCTTTACATTAAGTTATCAAGATTTCTTTAATTCATAGTTAAATCTATATAGGAAATGCCTCCGCTGACATCCATTCAAATTACGTTCAGTTTAAGCAAATTGGCTCACATATAATAAAATAAAAAATAATAAAATTAAAAACACGCACTAATAACTAAAAAAAAACAAAAAAAAAACATAAGCAATAAAATAATAGATTATAAAACAAACACACATGCTCATACACACGCACACACACACTCAAATAGTTCTTAGTTCTTAAAAATATTTCTAAAATCTTCTCTCTCTTTCTTACATCAACCAACTGCTTAATATTATTATTATATCTTTATTTTTTTTTTTTTCTACAACTAATTTTTATATATTTTTAATCTTTGAAGCCTTTTGTGCGCGTTTTGAAAACCCCGTTATTTATTTGTTATATTAACTCTATTCATAACTGTGCTAAACTGAAACAAGAAACTCAAATTTTTCAACTCTATTTTCGTCTTTAATGTTGCAACTTATTGTCTAAGAAAATCGAATACCAAATAATTCTTTCGGTAAGAAAACCAAATACAAGAAACTATAAAAATTTTTTTCTTTTTCAATAACAACAATAATACAAATATAAACAAATAACAATAAAAAGAAAAAAAAAAAAAAAAAAACGCCACAGCTTCAAAATTCATTCAGTTTCTATATACATAAATATATATATGATTTTTCTGTTCAATATTTACACTAACCTTCTTGCTGCATATATAATTTAATGTGAGCTCAATTTATTTCCCACCACTGTTGAACGAGATGTAAATGATTGTCTGTTTAATTGTAATTGGTTTTTGTCGATTCACTAAATGTGTGTGTTTTTTTTTTCTTTTCGTCTCTCTTTCTCTGCCTCTCTATCTCTCTCTTTCTCTGTTTATGCATATACTATATTAATATGTGTATGTGTACTGTGCGTGTGTGTGTGTATGCTGAGTCTGTATGTGTGTGTGTGTGAATTTAGTCTTACGGTATTTACAAAGCTAAGGATTTACCATGCACATTGGTTACAAATTGCGCAAAAATTGAAAAAACTTATCAACGTACCTNAAAATATAAAATTAAGTATTATAAAGAATATATATATCGTTTATTGCTGAAACATTTGTTGCAACATTGAAGAACTAAAATGAAAGATCAATAAATCGTACAAATCGACAACAACAAAAATTGTATTATATTATGTAAATGTCCACAAATGACACACAAACATATAGAGATTAATATTTATTCATAGTTTTTTAATTTGTTTTCCTTAAATGCAATATCTATACACACTTATACAAATACTCTATATATAGCTGAATTGTTTGAATAGAGCCTGAATACCAAAAAACCTGCCGAAACCAAAACCAAAAACCAATTTCTTTAGCCTTAAGTTACGATTTTTCATTTGTGTTTAATTATTAATTTAATTTTAGTTTAAAAATTGTTCTTAAGATGCTATTGTTTATATATTGATTTTGATATAAATATGTTTTCCTACGTTATTTCGATATGATTTGAAATCCTCTTAGTGCCAAAGCTATTTAAGCCAGCCAGCTTCATTCCTAGTTCCACTTTGTTCTCAATGCATTTAATTATTTTTCTTTAATGCCAAAACACCTACAATCTATACACACGCATAAAGAACTTGATTAAAATGTAATGAAAAACAAAAACCAAAACTGAAAAGCAAAAAAAAAAAAAACACTAAAGAATTATTCGTGTAGCTGTTTCAATTCGTTTGCATAACCAAAAGAATATATATAAAAAAAAAAAAAAAATCCAAATCAACATATCTACATCTACTTATATCTACCTATACCATATACCATATATATATCTACATACATATATACAATATGCAAATCCTTATGGCCTGCCTTATTCAGTTCCACTTACCAATTACCAATTGGCCAGAGCCCACTGTGCGCATGGAATGTAAACGAGCGCGCATCCCCCAATTCGGCCCCAGGCATTGCATTCCACGCACTCGGCAAATCCCGCTATAAAAAAAAAAAAAAAAAAAAAAAACAAAAATAAATAAACCTATCGCCACAGTGATAACGCATTATACGAAACGCAAATGTTTGCAGGTCGCGTTAAATGTTTTAACAGTGCCCGCAAGCAGGAAGCGGACGACGATGTCGAGATCGATGTGGCCGTTGCCGTCGTCCAGGATGTGGACGTCGATGAGGAGGCAGAGGCGGCAGCAACACTCGCCTATCATCATGCCACGCCCAAATACAGGCGCGCCATCATCTATGCACCGCACGACGAGGATATGCCCGCAGCGGATCTGTATATGGATAATAGCTACAACTGCGAGTACAAGTGCAAGGAGCGCAATATGCGCGCCATACGCTGCAATCGTCAGCAACATCATCCGCATCCACATCCGCATTCGCATCCGCATCAGCATCAGTTGGCGACGGCGCCGCAAACGGCGCTGAATCTGGGCCGGCACAGCAGCGGAGTTGTAGCCGCTACCGCAGCGGAAACTCTGTGCGGCGCTGAGGCAGCAGCGGCCTACTCGCCCACGCCCACCTCCAGCAGCAGCAGCTATCGAGAGCAACAGCAACAGCAGCAGCAGCAATCGCACTTGAGCTATGCGCTGCAGCAGTCGCCCAATGGAGTGCAGCAGCTGGAGTTGGCGCACAGCTATGGGCATCATGGACATCATGGGCCACCGCCGCCATCATCGTCGTCATCCTCTCTGGCAGCCAGCACTTCGCAGCAATCGCCGCATTATCAGCCCGCCATTGGTTCACTCTCGCCGCAACCCAGCTCCTCCTCATCATCAACCTCTGCAGCAGCGGCGGCGGCGGCGGCAGCAGCAGCAGCAGCGGCAGCGGCAGCGGCTGCGAATCGTCGGGATCATAACATAGACTACTCAACACTGTTCGTACAGCTATCTGGTACGCTGCCCACGCTCTATCGCTGCGTCAGCTGCAACAAGATCGTGTCGAACCGCTGGCATCACGCCAACATCCATCGGCCGCAGAGCCACGAGTGCCCCGTCTGTGGCCAGAAGTTCACGCGTCGCGACAATATGAAGGCCCATTGCAAGATCAAGCATGCGGACATTAAGGATCGTTTCTTCAGCCATTATGTACATATGTGATCACTTCTTTAGATAGTTACGCTCACGATATGTAAACAATCCCCCTCGAGAAAACATAACAAAAATGGAAGTCTGCACCAGAGTTAGAAATTATTTATTATGTAGCGCCCTAAGAGTTTCCAAGAGTTTCCTTACGCAACTTATCTTGAAAGACAGGCCTAAAGCAAAGTTAAACAAATCAAATCAAATCGAATCAAATCGTATTGTATCGTATAGTATCGAATAAAAGGTTTTCAATCTATAAATCTTAATAAGCCCACACATACGTAATATTATAATACTAAATGAACTTAAGATTCTATCCAAGCAGTTTCTTTAGCTATGATATCAAAGAAATATCTCGTAGTTGATTTAAAAGACTTTTTATTAATTGTTACTTAAATAACCTTTAGATGCTTTTTTACATCAATTCAATTGTTATTATTATTATTATTATTATGATGATTATTATTATTGTGAACCGCGGCCAGTACTTAAGAGCAAACTTTATAAAGTATTACATTAGAATTCCACGACGTTATGCTTCCAGTTTTTCTTGGTTTATAATTTTGTTTTCTTTATTTATGAAACAATATAAAAATAATATTTAACATGTGCTGTAGTGAGTTTTTTGACTAATACTATTTTGTGTGCCATATTATCTAGTACTTAATTAAACAATCAAATAGTTAAACAACAACTTACTTAATTCTTATCATGAAATGCAACGAGTGAGGCATGCAACAACGAGACTAATTCAGTAGCTGAAAATTATGGAAAAGCAAAGTGGGAAAACTGAAAATCAAAAACCAAACAAAAGCAATAAAAATTAATATATAAAACCAAACAAATTTCTTCAGCAATTAAGAAAAACAAAAAAGAATACAATAAATATTTTAAATATATTATAAATTGTTAAGAAAGAACAACTGAAAAACGATTGCGCCCAATTTCAAGAATAAGCATTTACCTAGTGCAAAAATGAGCCCCTTGTGTGCACCTATCTTATCTAGGATTCGGTATTATATCATTGAAGAGTGTATATTATAGGACTCTGATATGATATTATAAAGGTTATATTTATATTAGAGTGTATACATAGAAGTCATATTATCTCTGCCCATCCATTTCTATAAACATCTTTATAATATGGATATACAACATTTATTATACGTTCGATATTGTATTATCATATCATTGATATGGTATTATTTCTTGGAGAAGTATACATAAAATTCTTGATTTTATATAACTCAATGATGTTTACAGTATGTCAAGGATATGCCATTAGATCATCTCTGGTATTATTTCAGTGCATACATCTGATTATCTGATCGGATATATAATGATTCTACAACCTTTGAGAGTATATATTGCTCTTGTTGTGTATTCATTAAGAGATATACAGCATCGTAAGATTATGACTAAAATATCTATGTGGTATGCAATGATCTTTGACTATATACATGGTGTAATATAAATCTCATACGATATGATATATATGTTTTCAATCGATTTTGAGCCTATATCAAATCTACAAAACATTGTTTTCATTTTGTATTATATCATATTGAGTATTCATATAGGCATAGGTCTATATATATATCGATTTTCGATACTATATATCAAATATATGATTTGTGGTATTTCCATGTCCATAAATTGATATAATACCTATCATATATGATGCAACCCTGCTCTGTGAAATGTTATAGCAACACTTTAAAAAGTATCATATAATGTCAACGCAAATATACTCTTATAATTTTCATACATATCTATGATAAGATATAATGCCAATCCCTTATGTATATGCATTGAAATTGGGCGCTCGTTAGATTTATATCTACTACAAATACAATATGTTTCTCGTATCTTTGGCAAAACACCCACCGAATTCGATTAGTTGCATATTTTCATAATCACTTTTTTCAATTTATAAAGAAATATATATTATTGAAAGTGGTTTGCTAAAGTTACTTTAAATCTATTTCACACTCTATGATCAGCAATAAACAAATGTATTTTAAAAGCAAAAATAGTCGTAGTTTAAACAAATGAAATCCAAATATGCAAACAAAATATCAAACCAGCAAATATTACTTAACATCTTTAACTTTACTTAATAAAACTCTTTCAAATCGAATTCCAGTTCTTTTCAATTCTAAAAAGAAATCAGCCTTTAGGTACTAAAACTAACCCAAAAAGATCAATCAAACAACTTAATATCAGTTTCATATATATTACATATATATGAAATAATATCGTTATCGATTTCAATTAATCCAAATAATAATAATAATAATAATGAATAAAGAACTACAAGCGCACTCTCTACCTACGGTAAGTTTCCATTTTCTAAGCTCTAACCAAATAAATCTAAGTTGATTTAAATATGTTAAATTAAATTTTAATGCATAAAAACTTAAGTTACGTATTGTTTTATGTATGTGTTCTATTTTATCTAAAAAAGATCTAAAAACAAAAAGAAAAGCTAAATTTAAAATTCTTATAAAAATTAATGGACGAAAAAAAAAAAACAGGAATTGGCCAAAAACAATTGAAAATGTTTTCTCTCTATATATACAATAATATTTCTGAAATGTTTTTTGAAACACTTACGCTCTTACTCACTCACTTCCAATATTCTATTACGTCTCTCTCTCACACACACTCTTGCGCTCTTTCTCTTTCTCTTACGCTGTTACTGTCTTACTCTGTGTCTTTGAAAAGGGTTCATTTATATATATTTTTGCCGTTATTTGAGCTCTCTTACTATATAGTAAATATATATGTTTTCGTATGCAGCAGGCAGGAGGGGTGTTGAAAATATATTTTCGTATATGCCACAAATTTACGATTTGATGCGAATCTCGCTTAAATATATATTATCCACATTATCTACATACACTTATTTTTTTTTTTTTTTTGCAAATTTCTTTTGAGTCTTATATTCTGGCCCCTCTATTATTTAACCCTCTCTCTGTATATTCACATTCGCATTTCCCTGAAATGAAAAAAGAAAAAAATTGCCCTCAACACCCGTACAATATATATATATATTTTTGAAACTAATACGGTTTCGGCTTAAACGGAAATAAAATCAATTATAATCCAAGAGAAATTTAATATAATATTAACAGTCGAAACAAAACATCCAACACACTCATCAGCCACTTAAACCATATAACAAACAAATTATATATATACATATATTATAAAACAACAAAATTGATATATCCCAAACAAAAACACAGCTCTCATTGCATTTACTTATATATATATATATGTGAATTTATTATATATATATATATTTCTTATAAACGTTATTTGGTTTGGGTTTCTTCAAAAAGTCGTTCGTTTAATGTAAATAAATAATTTAGGCAAATATCTAAATGTGAAATTTATTAATTATTTTTGTTTATATATTTACTTTTTAAATTGGTTTATCATCCACTTCTATTTCTATTCCCAATCAAAATATTTCACCTTGTTTTTGTTTTGGGTGTAACAAAATTTTGCGTGTAAATCATATTTGAAATTCGATTCGAAATTGAAATTGAAATTGCGAAATAAAAACTTTATTTAACTCGTTGAAGTACACCCCCTACCAACCCACCACATACACCTATCATGGTTTATCCCCAACCCCCCTCAAATACATATATATACATATATCTTACTAAAAACCCAGACAAGACGTCGTCGCACGTCTTAACACATTATATATAGTTAATAAATTACTGCAAACTCTTCATTGGCTATAAAAAAAAATATACCAAAATATAAATAAAAAGCAAGGGCAACTAGTTAAAAAAGAAAAAAAAAAAACAATACAGCTTAAGAATAATTATAAAAATAATAATTTTTCTGTTTCTGTGAATCACCAACAACAACATTGTTTTTCTCTTCTTTTTTCTTTACGCGTTTGAACGAAAAAACCAAACCAAAAAAAACAAAAACAAAAACAAAAAACCAAAAAACAAACAAAAAAATATATAAAATCAAACTAAATATTTGAAAACATCAAAAAACTTAACTGAAAATTAAAATTAAACAAATATAAACTTTAAATGAAAATAAATGAAATACGCATACGAGCAGGCTCGAAGGCCTGGCACATGCGGCTCACCTTCGAGCGCCTCTCCGGCGGCTGCAACCTGCATCGCTGCAAGCTGTGCGGCAAGGTCGTGACGCACATACGCAACCACTACCACGTCCACTTCCCCGGCAGATTCGAGTGCCCGCTGTGCCGCGCCACCTACACGCGCAGCGACAATCTGCGGACCCATTGCAAGTTCAAGCATCCCATGTACAATCCGGACACGCGCAAGTTCGACAACCTTATGTCCGCCACGGCGACGGCGGTGGGCGGTGGTGCGGCCACGCCTACGGCCACACAGCTGGCGGCCGCATCGCAGGCGGCGATGGCAGCAGCGGCAGCAGCAGCATTTTCCGCGGCGCAGCAGCAACAGCAACAGCAGCAGCAACAACAACAGCAGCAGCAACAGCAACAGCAGCAGCAGCAACATCGCGAACAACAGTCACAACAGCAACAGTTGCAGCAACATGCACAGGCCTTGGCGCAGCAGCACATGTTGCACCAACAGCTGCAGCCGCAGCATCATCAGCAGCAGCAACACAATGCAACAAGCGAATGATACAGCCAGTATCTGGCCTGGAACTATGCTGCATGGAGCCCAGACGAGTCGACCATGAAACAGCCGCCGCACTTTGCCAGCAACTATCAGCAGCAGCAGCAGCAACAGCAACAGCAGCTGCAACATCTACAGCAGCAACAGCAACACCTACTACGCCGGGCACAGCCCCTCAATTTCTATGCACGCAACTACTATCAACCACACATTGAGGCCAAGCAACACAGCAGCAACATGCATTTGCAGCAGCAACATCGCCAACAGCAGCAGCAGCCAACGCAAACGATTGTCATTGATGAGAGCGACGACAATGAGCTGGAGGAGGAGCCGGGGGGCATGGCCAGCTGTATGCGACGCAGCTTCAATCATTATATGGAGCAGCTGAAACAGTTGGCGCCGTGTGCAGCTGCAGCAGCAGCAGCAGCTGTTGCTGATGATGTTGCTGCTGTCAACAGGTGCAATAGCAACAGCAACAATTCAACAAATGCCAATCAAATGGAAGCTAATACAATTACAACAGCCACAACCACTAATAGTAATGCTAATGCTAATGCTAATGCTAATCATAATAATTGTAATACTAGAAACTTCAACAGGCAGCTGCCACCATAAGCATTGGCAACAACAGCAGCAGCAACATTGATACTCAGATCTAAGCATATGCATATATAAAGTATATATATACATATATAAATATTCCCAATATCTATATATTTATATATGTATATATGTATGTAATTAACTGAATGAATTCTTAAATGTTGACCATGCATTGCAAAATATTATGGTAAGCCAAATGTATTTGTCAATTATATAGGGAAAGAAAGGGGAAGATGCGAAAGGTGGATAAAGTATGGAATCAAACGCTGATCTGTGCACGATTCATGGTTTCAACAGGATTCAAATGTTTGCTAATTCAATAGTTACAATACAAATATAGAAGATGAACATAACAATAGTTGTAAAGAACTTACAAAAAAGGGTTTCCAAGGCAGCCAAACAAAGAACTTTTAAAGAGATTGTGCATTAAAAATATATATACAAATATTTAAATATATAT